ATTGGGAGATAAGTGATCACATGAAATAAACTTCTTGATGGCATGTGGTGAGGTTCTGATAATATCATCTGTCATGGCAGAATGACACAAGTAGTCATGTAGCTTGAGAGGTATATTTCTTGATCTAGTTGACCTCCTAGGCAGTTGTTGCTCATCACTTTCATCATGCAACAAATTCTCAAGTTGGATAGGTGGAATACTATCAGAAACTGGCTGTTGATCATTGACAGATGGTGAATAGTTCTCTGAATCTTCTTCAGTTGTTTGTTGGTGATTCACAGGCTGTCCACCAAAATGAATATGATCTTCCTCATCAACATGTCTCCTTGTTGTTTCTGTTGGAGGAACTTCTGTGTCAGCATTAATTGGAATAAGTGGCAGTGGAGGATTAAAAATTTCTGAGTTGGTTCCACATTCAATCCCTGAGTATCCATCCTTGAAAGGAAAGACTTCTTCATAAAATTTTACATCCCTTGAGACAAAAACAACTTGGTTAACAACATCATACAATATATATCCCTTTACAGCATCAGGAAAGCCTAAGAATATGCATTTCCTAGCTCTTTGCTGCATTTTATTTCTCCCTTGTGAGATAGTTGAGGCAAAGCACAGACAACCAAAAGATTTGAACTGACTGTAATCAACATTCCTCCCAAGAAGCATTTCAAAAGGAGTTGAACCATTTAGGACTTCAGTTGGCAGCCTGTTAATCAGATATGATGAATGTAGAACACAGTGACCCCAGAAACTATCTGACAACCCTGACTGAAATTTGAGGGCCCTAGCAATGTTCATAATGTGTTGATGCTTTCTTTCTGCAATCCCATTCTGTTGGGGTGTATACACACAAGATTTTTGATGCACAATCCCTTTCTCATTGAAGTAAGTATTCATCATGAACTCATTCCCATTGTCTGTTCTTACTGCTTTAATCTTGATTGAGAACTGAGTATAAACATGGTTATAGAAGTTCTGAAATATGCCTTTCACTTCTGATTTATGATTCATGAGGTGTAACCATGTAAACCTACTAAAATCATCCACAATGGTGAGAAAGTAATGTTCTCCTTTCAAAGAAGCCACAGAGAAGGGACCCCACACATCCATATGTATTAAATCAAAAGCTTTTGCAGATCTAGTAACACTAAGGGGAAAACTGTTTTTCTTGTGCTTGGCAAAATGACATGTATCACATACAAAATCAATAGGCTTATGAGGGAAGGCAAGTTTTATTTCTTTCAACATTTTCATCTTATTCACAGGATAATGGCCTAGTCTATTGTGCCACAACTGAACAGAAAGACTATTACAAAGAATATCAGAAGTACTGTTGATGTTTCTTTTCTTAACAGGAGGCTTAGCAATCAGATACAACCCCTCCTCTTCCTTAGCAAAACCATCCACTATTCCAAGATGCCCCTGAATAGTACAAGAGTCAGTTCTCATGACTATCTCACAGTTTGATTGTCTAGTTAGTTTACTTGCAGATATAATGTTAAAAGTGAAAGATGGAATGCACAACACATTCTGCAAAACTATCCCCATGTCCAATCTGATATGTCCTATATGAGTAACACTGATTGTGTCCCCATTAGGTAGTTTAACAGAAATCCCATGAACAGCATGACAAGATTCAAAATATTCCAAAGAGCAGGTAATATGATCTGTAGCACCTGAATCTAAAATCCAAACACTAGATGAATTTAGAACAGCATTGGCAAAGGAGTTAGGGATAAACCTGCCTTCATTATGATTTTCCATAGGACTTCTGAAATCAGATCTCATTCCATTGTTTGTAACTGTCACAGCTGCATTGGTTTGAGATTGGTTCCCTTGGTTCTGACCTTGCAACAAGGTCAGTAGCTTCTGGAACTGTTCAGCAGACAGGCCTGTATCACTGACTTGACTAGCAGAGGGATTAAACTGCTGTGCATCTTGAGTCTGTTTATTTTTTGTCTTATAACCTGCAACCCAACCAGGGGGAAAACCATGCTTCTTGTAACATTTATCAACTGTGTGTCCTGTCCTTCCACAGAAGGTACAATTAGGTACATTCTTCCCTGAGTTGCCATTAAACTTCTTCTTATTGTTTGAAATTCCAGCAGCCACAACTGATTGCTCATCTGTACTGGGAATCACAACATTCTGAATGGCATTTGCTTGAGTAAGATCAATAGATTTCAAGTTAATAGAGCTCTTAAGCTTCCTTTCCATCTTCAAGGCCATGTTAAGGACCTTCTCCATGATTGGCATAGGATCCATAACAAGGATTCCTGCCTTGATGTTTTCATATTCTTCATTCAGGCCCTCTAAGAACCTGATGATCTGATCTTCCTCCTTTTCCTTTTGAATCTTACTCATCAATGTACAAGAACACCTAGGCACACACTCACATGCAGGAACAGGCCTCATAGCTTTCAATTGCACCCACAAAGCATTACTCTTAGTGAAATATTCATTAATAGATAGATTACCTTGTGTGCACTTATAAATTTCGTTCTGAATCTCAGCAATTCGATGAGGATCGACCTGTGAGTACCTCTTTTGAAGAATACTCCAGATATCTGCTGCAATCTCGAAGTACAACACTCCTTCTGCTATTGTGGAACTCAATGACTTGAAGATCCATGAGCAGACTATATTATTACACCTCTTCCAGACAGGATACCTAGGATCGTCGACTCCAGGCTTCACGATCGTTCCATCAACAAATCCGAATTTGTTTTTGACTTCAAGCGCAATTTTCATTGCCCTACTCCACGAGGCATAATTGATCTCAGTCAGCGGAGGTGAGACAAGAGCCAGATTCGGATTCTCTGAAAAATGCAGGTACATAGGATCGTCAACTTCGTCTGAGCGCTGCATCGCACTCTGGTTCATTGGATTCTGATTTGAAGCAGCTCCTGCTTGCTGTCCAGTTGAAGTTCCTTCACCGTTTTGGCTTTCCGTCGTCACCACTGCGGCATAGCTCCGGCGAAGCTCTGATACCATGATGAGAATGTCAGAATCTCAGTGAATGGAATGGAATATCTCATGTTAGAGCAAGTAGAAGGAAAGAAGCTTTATTCATGTTGTGTTATGGAGAAGCAGAGAACAAACGTATATATACAAAGAAAGAGAAAGAGAAGATGGCAGTTATAACTGCCTGAAAGGGATGAAAGTTCTAAAATAGCCCTTGACTATTAGACTTTGAGGTCCACTGCCTGCTTGCTTCTGCTTACTTCTTGATGGCTTGTGCTGATGATCCAAACTCAATAAACTGATGATGACTTCTTCCTTTACTTCAACATAACCCAAAACAATTCAACAATAGATGGTTATCTCATATTCGAGATTTGATCTCGAATTCAATGAAAATGGTGAAAATTTGTGACCTGAAGAAAACATTTTCTTTTCTTCTTTCTTCTCATAAAACTACACTTTGATACGAAGAATTTCATTAAAAAAAAAAAAAAAAAAAAAAAAAAAAAAAAAAAAGGACTCCCTTTAACCAAGCCACATACAATATAGAAATGGATGTGAGAGATTGAGAAATTTTAACTAGGTTTAATGGCACGAGTGCAAGTGAGTGAGATTACATTTTCATTTTTTATTTAGGAGTTTTGTAATAATAGGGTTTTCTTCCTTTTTTTTTTTTAATAGCCATAAAAAAAAGGGTAGAATTACATTCTTCTAAAAGGCTGAACCCCAACCCTAAGGGCCCCCACACTCCGACCCGACAGAGCATTTGGGAGGATGTAAATCATGGTAACTCAATTAAACATGAACCACAGAGGCTAGACCGGTGCTCACTGTGCACAAGGAACCCCCCTCACTTTGAGAGGTAGCTCCCACACTGCCGCTGGTGAGACTCGATCCCTGGTCATTCTTCCAAAGTTTCACCTCTGTGGCCAGTTGAGCTACCCATGCGGGTAAAAAGGGTAAAATTACATGCAGATGCAGATGACCACTTATGAAAGGAAAAAAAAAAAACTTGTAAGCAATAGATGAATTATATGTGTAGCATGGTTGAAAAAATTGATAGCATCTAGGCGGTGATTAATCGACGCCTAAACGCTCGTGTATTTTTTATTTTTTAAAATTTTATTAATTTTTTAAGACTTGATAATTATAAACTATTTAATATTTTAAAAGTTAATACTAAAATATTAAATATTAACCTAAAAAACATCTAGGATTTGAACAATTTAGGGTTATTTTGCTTAAAACGATATCGTTTTGAGTGAAATAACCCATTTAAATAAAAAAGGAACAATAGCTAATCAGCCGACTAGGCGACTTAGTCGGTGCCTAGGCGGTCTTGTCGATGCCTAGGAGGCCTAGGCGGAGCTTAGGCCGCCTAATCGGCCAGCAGCCTAGGCCACTGATGATGGTGATACGCTAGGCGGGCGGCCAGCGCCTAGCGCTTAGGCGCCGATTAATCGGTGCCTAGGCGGGATTTTTACAACACTAATGTGTAGTATAAAAGGGTATTTTTGGTATTATAATACAAAAGCTATTCCCGAGTGCTTGGAATAGCTGATACCAGGGGACCCCTAAAAATGGTTATTCCTCCATCAAAGGGAATTAGCTCATTCCTAGAAATATTATTCCTGTGTATAAAAGGTCAAGACAAACAATAAAATAGGTCTATTTCTGATAATATCATTCCATTCTTAACATTTTTCAGGAGCCAAACATGCTGTTTAGATATTTGAGTTCAATTAAATGTATTTTTTTTTTAATTTAGAATATCTCAACAAAACTTTTATATTGTTTTTTTTATTTCAATAGATTCAATTACACTATTTAATAATATTAAAAAAAAAAAAAAAGTACACTACTTCATAGATTTATCCCTTATTTGACCCTTTTTTTTTCCTTTTAGGTTTAGATCCCCCTCTCAATGTCAAATGGGATTTTACCAAATAAATAGCAATTTGTCATAAAAATTTTGTGGCTGAGAATTTAATAGAGTGATGACATGGCATCCACATCCCCAAACTACAATATCAAAATCACATTTCTCCACAAAGCCAACGAGGCTTAACCAAATAAAGTCCCCTTTCTGCCTTTCACTAACTCGTATTTACTAAAAGTAAGAGAAATTTGCAATCGGAGACTCGCCGGAACTGATGTTAGCCCGCCGCCGGCTCCTGGTTACATAAAAAGCGCCAAGTATTCTCTGCCTTTTATTCTTCTTTTTACGGAAAATGGGAGAACAGAAAGACCCAGGAATCACCCTGTTCGGAAAAAAGATTCCCCTACCGTTAAGGGTGGTGGTCTTCGCCGGCGACGAATCCGCCGGCGGTGATTCCGGCGGGGTTAATTTCCCTGGTGAAAGCAATAGTGGGTCTGAGCGTGTTAGGTGTTTCGACGACGAGAACATAGAAGACGCATATGAAGAAAGCAAGCCTGAAGATGAAATGGTAAAATTCAATATGCTTTTAACTTTGTGGATAGCTATTATAGAGCAATTTCTACAGAAAGAATTTCCCTTTTCATTAAACTGGTGAAATTTGAATTTCTCAAAATATATTTTATTTAATTATTTTTAATGTAGCTTTTGCTTTTACCCTTTTGATTCTTGAACTCCCAACAATACTTTTTTCACTTCAATACCTTTATCTTTAGATTACCAGTATATATAGGCTTAATTGTTTCCAGAATCACTGAATTAACAGTATATGTTTTACACTAAAAAAGTAAAAAGTCTTACCTAAATCACAGACTAAAAACTGTTTAGTTCACCTAAAAGGTTATAGCCAATCAGTAAATCTGTATGATTAAGGCTATATATTTTGTGTGTGGATGTGTAGGTGTTGTATTTGTTTATCATTATTGGGAAGAAGTTCCAGCAAGTTAATGAACTTTTTATGTGATCACAATGACTTTATGCTTTGATAGAGAGGATTGATTATGGTCAAGCCCCCCTTTCTTGGCCAGTTTTGAGCATGTATGGTAGCATAAGTGGTAGTTTATGGATGGTGAATTGAAGCATGTGTTCCATCTGAACAAAAGTCTAAGCTAATAGTTGGACTATATGCTCAACACGCCCCTTCGTGACATTTGGCATGGGGTCGACTCTGATACTGAATTGAAGCATGTGACCAGTTTTAACTAAAAGTCTAAGTTGATAGTTGGACTAAACATTTATGTTTATATATTGTATGCTCAACATGGTGAAGTGTATAGTTTCTTGCATTTATTGTACATAATTGAGTCTTGCTAAGCTATTCTTCAAATGGATAGAAATAAATTACAAGAATCTTTCTTCTGTGTGATTGTCAGTTTTTAGCATTTTTGCCAAATGTAGAAAGTTTTGATTCTTGCTTTCTTCTCCTTCTGGAGTTTCAAGCTTTCTTGCACATCCATACTGTTGAGCATAATATATATAAACATAAACGTGCAGTCCAACTATCAGCTTAGACTTTTAGCTGAGATGGAGCAGATGTTTTTCGATTCATACCATATCGTTTTCCGTTTTAATGGAGTGAGCTGTTTAGAAATCGTTAAGTTGTTGCTACATGTGATGGGTTCTTTTGGTTTCTGTCTTAGGATGTTTCTTATGAATCCTATGATTTTCTATTAGGCCTCTGAAACTATCTCAGAAGAGAAAGATGAAGATGGAGATGAAGATCAAAACATGGATGGCAAAGAAAGTTGTAAAGCTTTACAAGAACTGGGGAACAAAACCGAAGCTCCCTCCGCTGATGATAACTCTCCAACAGCGAAATCGACCAAGACTGAAGATGATCAAACGGGAACAGATAATTCTAAGGAGAAAACGCTAAAGAAACCGGACAAAATTCTCCCATGTCCTCGGTGCAATAGCATGGATACGAAATTTTGTTACTACAACAACTACAATGTCAATCAGCCCCGCCATTTCTGCAGGAGCTGCCAGAGGTACTGGACTGCCGGGGGTTCCATGAGGAATTTGCCAGTTGGGGCTGGTCGTCGCAAAAACAAGAGCTCTGCCTCTCATTGCCACATCACCATCTCGAACGCTAACGTCTCCGATGCCCTCCACGCAATGCAGCCCGAAGCTCCGAATGGATTTCATTTCCCAGCTCATCTTAAACCCGACGCCACTGTCCTGTCCTTTAGTCCTAACGCCTCGCTTCGCGAGTGTATGGGCTCCGTTTTAAATCCCGGGGAGACGAAGTCGCCAAATGGGACTCAAAATGGTTTCTCTAAACCTCACACGAGAAACCCTTCTTACAAAACCGGGAATGATTGCTCTACCAAGTCTTCTGTCACAAATTCGAACTCAAAAGCAGAATACCTTCCTAAAGTCCCGTGGAATGCTGCAGCATCATTGCCACCCGTTTTCCCCTCGGGAGTTCCCGTCACATTCTGCCCCGCAACTTATTGGAACTATTGCCTCCCCGGTCCATGGACTCTTCCTTGGTTAACTCCACCATCTCCAACAGTAAGCCAAAAGTCATCAATTTCTAGTCCTAATTCATTGGGGAAGCACCCAAGGGACGGGGATTTACTCGAGCCAAACAACCCCAAGGGTAAAGAATCATCCGAACAAAAGAGTCCCGAAGGGAGAATCTTGGTTCCAAAAACCTTGCGGATTGATGACCCCGATGAAGCTGCAAAGAGTTCTATATGGGCAACACTCGGGATCAAATACAATTCCATAAGCAAGGGAAGCATGTTCAACGCCTTGGAAGAACAAAAGAGCGACGACAAGAATCACACAACAAGTGCCTCTATGGCCTTGCAGGCTAACCCTGCAGCATTATCTCGGTCTCTCACCTTCCAGGAGAGCATCTAACGAGCGATTTCTCTCCGATTGTTCTCTTAAGCACAGGTGCCCTTTCTTGTATTTGAGGTGTGTGTTCACATGTACATAGTTTTTATACTTCTGACATTAGAATGGGAAGAGCGAGACGTTAGCTATATATATGTAGATGTAATATATGTTACACATCCACTTCGAAAGTGGCTCCTTTTTGGCAGTTTCACTAGTGGTTTTGAATAAAATCCAGCTCTCTTTGAAAACTCACTGTTCCAAATTTATAGAGCTTTTTAAAACTATAATGCCATACATTCAAAGTGGCTCAAGGCTGCATGTATAAATATAGGCCCTGTTTGGTAAAAAGTTGGCCTATAGGCCAATTTTGGCTTATTTGACCACTATTAATTGTTTGATTTAGTTAAAATATCAATATAAATGTTTGGTTAATTAGCTTTTTACAACTCCAAATGACTAAAATTGAAAAAGCTACCCCAAGCAACTTTTACAATTAGCTTTTTGAGAAAAGAAATTATACCAAACAGCTAACAGTTAACAGCTAATTTACCAAACACTTTTCTACAATCAGCTAATGTTATCAACTATTTATACCCTCTAATTAACACAATCAGCTAACAACTAACAGCTATTAGCTAACAACCATTTTACCAAACAAGGCCATAAGCTGAAGTGCTTCAATCAGTGTTTATGAGAAAAATATAGTACCAGGTAAGTGTATTATTTAAGGGTTACACTTGTGCGAGACCTTCTCACTGATCCTTATCCGTAAGACGGGTTGGGTCAATGTGGAAATGTAATACTTATACTGAAAATTGTAATACTAATCAGGAATAAAATGTTTGTTACTTAGAGAAACTGTAATACTTTTGATGAAAAATGTAATGCTTTTACATCAAAATGTAAAAGTATTACATTTTTCTCAAAAATATTACACTTTCTCTTATAAATAATGTTGGCAAGTGTTTGTTAAAATGTAATACTTATGAGGAAAAATGTAATATTTTTAAATAAAAATGTAAAAGTATTACACTTTCTTATACAAGTAATAAATACTTTATTCCTGATTAGTATAATAGTACATTTTTCAGTATAAGTATTACATTTTCATTTTGACCTAACCTATTTCGGGCATAAGAATTCATGAAATGGCCTAATACAAGTTTTTGCTTTTATTTAAAGTAATCCCAATTGGTGTGTAACTGGGCAATGCCTATCTGGCTTTGAATATCTTTCCTTTTCATACACAAACAACTACCAAGCAACAAAGTGTTAAAGATGATATAAAAGTTGAATGCCCCCTGTCCTTGGGGCCACAACAAAAGAAAGTCCACTACTCATTATTTTTGTTCATCTCTAGTCTTTTGTTTTGTATTTTCTAACAACCCCTTAATCCCATGTTTGGTTTCTTTATTTAGCATTGCAAAAGGCAAAATAGGACATATCTAATCCTAATTCATAAGAATTACACACTCTTAAAACATGTGAGATTACTCTTCTCTCATTCATTAACACACACACACACACACACACACACACACATATATATATATATATATATATATATATATATATATATATATATATAATTCTAACAAGCTAGGATAACACCTATAATTCTAACAATCTCACATGTACTTAACCCTAGTAATTTCGTAGATGGTAGGTGGTAGGTGTTATCCTAGCTTGTTAGAATTATATATAGTATATAGAATTTCACATGTATTTAACTAGAAATTTCGTAGATGGTAGGCGTTACCCTTGTTAGAATCATATATATATATATATATATATATATATATATATATATATATATATATATATATATATACTCTTCTCTCATTCATTACAACACTCTCCTCCTAAATTTATCTCATAATATCTACTTGAGATCAAGTGCATTTGTGCGTGAGTTTTATACTTAATGTGCGTGAGTCTTGTGCTTAATGTGTCTGAGATTTGTACTTAATGTGCGTGAGTGTGTAATGTTAATTTGCTTGAGTTTTGTACTTAATGTGCCTGAGTATTATTGTGCTTAATGTGCGAGAGGTTTGTGCTTAATATGCGTGACTTTTAACACAATTGCACAGGAAGCTATAAACAAAATACATTCAGACCACAAACTCACACACATTAAACACAAAAGTCAGACGAAGACGAAGACGTATATGATGAAGAACATAGAGGGAAAGAGATGATTAAGGGAATAGGAAGAGAAAACGAAGACGTATATGAAGAAAAACAGAGATATATAGGGGAAGAGAGGATTAAGGGAATATGAAAAGAAGACGAAGACGTATATGAAGAAGAACAGAGAGAGAGGAAGAGATGAAGAGAAGACGAAGACGAAGATGTATATGTACATGAGCACATTAACATTACACACTCACGCACATTAAGTACAAATCTCAGGCACATTAAACACAAGACTCAGGCACATTAAGCACAAAACTCACGCATATTAACATTACACACTCGTGCACATTAAGTACAAAGTTCAGGCACATTAAGCACAAGACTCACGCACATTAAGTACAAATCTCAAGCACATTAAACTCAAGACTCGGGCACATTAAGCACAAAACTCACGCATATTAACATTACACACTCGCGCACATTAAGTACAAAGTTCAGGCACATTAAGCACAAGACTCACGCACATTAAGTACAAAGCTCACGTACATTAATCAACCGCACTACCGCACTGGAACCTTTCACTATATATGTGTGTGTGTGTGTGTGTGTGTGTGTGTGATTCTAACAAGGGTAACGCCTACCATCTACGAAATTTCTAGGTAAATACATGTGAAATTACTCACCTCTCATTCATTACAACACTCTCCTCCTAAATTTATCTCATAATATCTACTTGATATGGGGTTACTTGATTAGATCTCTTTTGTATATTTTTTTAACTCATGGTATGATCAGCTAATTCATAAATAATTAATGAATATAAATAGTTTTATTGTTATATTAGATGGTGAACATTACAAAATAAATTTAAGAAGGAAAAATAACATTTTTGTACCAAGTGAGAATAGTACGGAAGCAATCAACAACTTAGATCTCCGTAATCCATTTTCCTATATAAGTAATAAATATTTTATTCTTGATTAATAGAACATATTTTAATATAAATATTACATTTTCATCTTGACATGATTCGTTTCTGTGATAACAATCTCATACAAGTTTTTGTCAAATTGAAATACCATCCTACAAAGGTTACTTTGTAAAGAAAAGTGATGACCACATGGTGTCGTGTAACACGTTTATCCTTCATTATTTGTCAAATGTTTGGTCCGAAAAATAATCTGCGGGGTCCACTTATAACTCCCATTAATTCCATTAAATATTTGAACCTAGTATATTAGTTAGAAAAGAAAAATTCTACATTGACCATTTTTTTTTTCAATCAATGATTTTGTTTAGCAAAATTAGCGGATGTTATCACTAGCTGTTAACTAGTTTGATTAAATGATAATATTAAAACCAAACACTTTGTACTTAGATGGCATGTAGTGACATCTCTTATATAGGAGGTCATGAGGACATGCCATCTCTTATATAGGAGGTCATGAGATTGAATCTTAGTGGAGGCATTGTATAACTTTTTGTGTTAGTATGTTTGAACAGATACTACAATGTAATAGAGTCAGTTGTATTTAAAAAAATAATTAATAATAAATACATTTTTACGGAGTAATAAATATTCTTTATAAATAATAAAGAATAACAATTAAAGAACATTAAATAAAAGATCTTATTACTACTTTTTTAGGAAATAAAAAAAAATTAAAATTTAAAAGAAAATAAAATATGTATTGGTTAAAAAAATAGAAATTGGGGTAAAAGATACGGAGTATTCAATTTGAAAAGAGAAATGGAGGCATTATAGGTGATGAGGACATGGGACTCCAAGAGTCCATTTTATTGGGGAAGTTTAACCAACCGTCTAAAAGAGGGCAATTTATATCGTCTACCAAGACATGCATTGCATTGTGCATCCTAGTGCAAAACGATATCGTTTTGAATTTTTATTTTTTATTTTTTTGGAAATTTTGTTTTATGGTGTCGGTTGTAATTTTCTTTAAAAAAAATCTTATACTTCAAAAATGTACATAATTGTATAAAAGAATGTACATAATTGTATAACAGAATATACATAATTGTATAACAAAATATACATACTTTTTTTTTGAAAAGATAATACACATAATCTAACATGATACATAATACACATAAACTCTTAACATAATACACGTAAACTCTTAACATAATACACATAAATTCCCTATTTCGAATGTACATAATTGTATAAAAAATGTACATAATTGTATAAAAATGTACATAATTGTATACCATAATGTACATAATCGCATCAACTCCCTACATAACTTACCAAAACGACGTCGTTTTGGGAGACGCGGGGCACACAGTGCTATGTGCGCCGTGGTGTAGGGTATAACGATTGCCAAGAAGAGTGTCCATCTTTATGGGTGAGGTGTTGGCCCAATAAGAATAATAGAAATCTATTGGGCTAAGGAAAAAAGGAAGCTTGGAGCAAAATATTATAAAAATTGTTACTAAGGGGTATTGAACCCACAATCTCAATCAAGTATATAATATAATAACAAAAGTTCTAAACCACCAAGCCACTCAAGATCTCATACATTAAAGGGTAGGATTGTAGGAAGTTCCATTTATGCATGAGAGTGCGCTGGAAGCAAAGTAGTGGGGAGACACGTGTGTGACCAAGAATGAAGGCTGTTAGATGTCGTTCATTTATCAACCATCTGTGAGTCCTTTAACAATATAAATAGGCACATTTCCCTCCCTTTAAAAGGCATCCCTTGACTCACCAAACCCCTTCTAATTCATTAGTCTAAGTTTCCTCCCTTCTGCTGACACACCAGGGTTTGATTCCTAGCAGTAACATTGTTATTTCTATTTTATTTTTTTAGTTATAGCTTGTATTATTTATTATTCGGGCCGCCACTTTAGACCCTATTTCATTATTAGGGTTATAGCTTGTATTATTTATTATTTGGGCCGCCGTTTGGGCCAATATCTCGGGCTTTATACGTACAATTTTGGGCCTAGGCGGCCTAGCGCCCTGAGTAATAAAGCTACTATTTCCTACCCTCATTCTATACCTCTATACCCAGTTCATGGTGGACTAGATTCCAACAAAATCATCAATAGGTATGTGATAATTCGTTTTCATATGGGAGACTCTTCGCAC